AAAAAGGGGGCAACGAAGGCTTAACCCACCACTCTATGGCGGTCTGAGAATCAACAAGCTCGAACGAGCCTTCCGAAGGAAAAAGACCACAACACTACTCTCACCACATTTTTATATCACAATTGTATACCACTTATGTGTCGGCTTAGGTGTTATTGACATGTCAAGTAAATAGCCACCTATACTAAAATTTCTTTTTAATTTTCAAAATGTAATTATGTTACTCAAAATTTATCACCTCTTCTTACTTACCCTCTCTCTCCCACCAACCCATCCATCGAGGAAATTTTCACATCTAGAATAGAGGGAAGAGAAGATCTGAACTAGAGAAGTTGAGGAATTCATATGGAAACAATAGAACGTAATTTTCTTAATTCAAGGTAGGGTCATTGTTTTGAATGGAGCCCTTTGAGACTTCCCAGGAGTTGTCCACTTTACTTTGGTTCATAACAATAGATTAATAAAATTTAGGGTTAATTACAGTTTAGTACTCTGTGGTTACACCCTTAAGGCATGTTAGTCTCTGTCTTTTCAATTTTTACAATCACATACCCCGAGCTTGTAAATATTTTACAATCTGATTCCACCGTTAGGGTTTCCATCAGTTGTACCGTTAGTTGCCGATGTGGCACTTATGGGGCCCACTTTTTCGCTAGTTTTGAAGTCCTTCCAAGGGCATTTTCGCACTTTTGATTTTTTCTCTTCTGCCTTCACGCCCTTCAACCCCTGTCTTGAGATTACGCCCATGTGGGATGGGCTGATTGTCTTGTGTTGGGGTCTTTTTTCGTCGAAAGACTCGTCCGGGCTTGTTGATTTTTGGACTGCCATAGAATGGCGAATCAAGCCTTCGTTGCCCCTTTTTATGAGTTAGTGAGAACTAGGTGATCGGTTCATAATTGTATATCATTTTGTACCCTTCTAGCTTATGATTTGGTTATGTTTTTGAGTTAAACTTGTGCTTTTAATCCTTTTTGTGTTTATCTTTCAGTTAATTGACATTTAGGTAACAATGATGACTTTGGATAGGAAATGATGCAATCCATGCATGTTATGGGCTGATTGGCATATGAGGAATATGAGCTTAAAGACAAACACATTTTGGCTACAGCCCATTTCCAGCCCAGTTTCGTAGGTCAACTTCTTGGCCTTGGATCAGAATGCTGTGGGGCTCGGATGAGGTGAA